GGGGTTAAGGTTTCACCTCATGAATGGGTATTCATTCCTCACACTCAAAAGCTATGTTACAGGAATTCTTCAAATAGATGTCGCTTCCCGTCCCCGAAATGGCGAAATGTCCCCAGTCGGGTACTTGGGAGCTTCCCCACACCCAAATTCTTTCTAAATTTTGAAAAAAATTAGCGTTTCACGCTTCCGACCGTGTCCCCGTACAAGTCCCTATCCCCGTCTCGGTGCAACTTAGCTCAAAAGCATGGGATGTATTGTAAATTGTGATGGAAAAACTAGGATGACTTTGAATATTTGTGTGTATTCATCCAAGGATTGTGGGTGGTCATAAAAAAATTCTGTCGGTCAATATACCAAGAAAAGGATACCCAAACTGCCGAATTGGGTGGGTACTACAACCTTATTATACTCCCTTTGTACCCATTACTTTTTACAATTGACTTTTTTGTCACGTTTTACAAACTTTGACCGTAAAGGGTAAAAAAATATATATACTACGTACTTATAACATTCATTTTTATTTAAAAATATTATTATGAATATTTAATGGCCCGTTTGGTGATCATCCCTTCCCAAATGTCCCTTTTTTACTTCTTATTTATTATATGTCATCTATCTCATTTAATATTATTCACCCACTTCCATTAAAAGTAATTTGTTAAAGTTTTACCCGTTTTAACTCTTCTTAGACACTATAAAAAGTCAACTTGAAAAGATCTATACCAAACCATGGGCATATTTGACAACAAAAAAAGTTAATTGCAAAGAATTTTTTTTAGATTGGAGGGAGTATTAGTTACTCCCTCCGTCCCAGAGTATTTGTCCACTTTCATTTTTACACACCATCCAATGCACTTCTTTAATTGATTTTATCTTGTAATTTGTATATTAAAAAATTATAGAAATTATATATTACGTAGTAATAATCTATATGTTAAGACAAATCAAACAAGATCACACATGACTATATTTAGGCTTACACATTGAGAGAATTTGATGAGTCAAAGTGCTTAGATGAACAGTTCCAAAAGTCAAAAGTGGACAAAAACTGAGGGACGGAGGGAATATTATTTCTCTCTCCAACTTTTACGAAGGGAACCTTGAAGTAGAGGTAGGCCCCGTTTGACATCAGCGTTAGAGATTAGCGTTAGCGTTTTGAAAAAGTTTTTATCTGACGGTAGCCTTTAGCATTAGCATTTTCCGAATTCATCTACACAATTAATATTTTATCCAAAATGCTAACGCTAATTGAAAAGCTCTTCCCAAACAAAGCTGTACTAAAAAATCCGCACAACCAAGAGTTTTGTTGTTGCTCTATATCTTTTTGTCATTTCAGTTTGGTCATGTGGTCTTGTAATTACAATTTTTTTTCTAGTCATTCCTAAAAAAAGGATCATGATGTAATGACACCAAGAATGACATTAAGGTTGAAATCACTATTATTTCGTATATAGGTTGTTTTTGGTTGGGGTAAAGTATTTTCCAAATGAAAAATGATTTCCAAGGAAAATTATTTTCCAATTATATTTTCCGTTGTTTGGTAGAAAGAAAAATATTTTCTCAAAAAAATTATTTCTTTTTACCACTTCATTCGTTTTTAAAACATTTCCTTTCACACTTTTTTGTTTCCCCAAAACACTTACATTTTTGTTAATTTAAGATTTAAACTTTAAACTTTAAACTTTAAATTTAAACATTTCCTTTTTCACTTTTTGTTTCCCCAAAAAATTTTGAATTTTAAATATGAAATTTTAAATTTTAAACTTTAAATTTTTCGGAGTAAATTTTAAATTTCAAATCTTAAGTTTTAATATTTAAATTTTAAATTTTAAGTTTTACGTTTTACGGAGTAAGTTTTAAGTTTTAATTTTTAAATTATACTTCCTCCGTCCCAGTGTATTTGTCCAGTTTGATTTTTCCGAGTCAAACTGGACAAACTTTGAGCTTCAATTAAATAAAAACTATAATGCATTTTAACATAAAAATGACTTTATTGGATTTATCGTATTGAGAACTTTCAAAATTGTATTTCATTATGCTAATATGCAATATAAATTGAGAGTAATTGGAGTTCAAAGTTTGTCCAGTTTGACTCAAAAAAGTGAGACTGAACAAATACATTAGGACGGAGATAGTAAATTTTAAATTTTAAATTATTAAATTTTAAATTTTAAAAATTTAAATTCAAAGCTGAAAAGTCGAGAAAAGGAGTATGTGGTGGACGGATGTTGGGGGAGGTGGGTGGAGATGGAGTGGCAAGAGAATTAACGTAAATTATTTTCCCCAGTTGAAGGAAAGTATTTTCCTATTTTCTTTCCACTAATATCACTAACCACGAGAAAATAAAATAAAATTTTTCTGAAAAGTATTTTACTCTCAACAAAACATTAGATGGTGTCAAACTTGATGATATGATACCATTACTTATCTAACTATTTTTTTGGGAATGAGAAAGTATATTCCTATAGATTCAAAAAAGATAACCACTTACGAGTATGTGTCAAAAGGAATATGCCTTAGTTAATAAACTCTAATGGCCCCTTTGGTGAGTAAAATTTTAAATGTAACAGCTATTCTTACTTTGTTTATTTATTAATAATCTAACCAGCCTACTTCATTTAATACTTCCTCTGTTTCTTAAAACCCTTCTTCTTTCATTTTTTTTGTTTTTCTTAAAACACTTCCTCTTTCTATTAAAAAACCACTTTCACCCCTACTTTTTCATACCCTATCTATCACATCATACTTTTTCACTAACGACTAAACTATTACATCTTACTTTTACCCATCACATCAAGAGAAAAATTGGAAAGTTAACTACAATTTAACACTTCCTTATTTTCCCCCAAAGTCAAAAGAGGAACTCTTTTGAGAAACGGAGGTAGTATAATTCACCTACTTTTATTAAAGATTATTTGGTACACTTATACCATTTTCATTCTGCTTAAACACTATAAAAAGTCAGCTTGAAAAGAACTATATCAAACGGAAAAAACATATTTAACAAAAAAAAAGTCAAATTGCAAAGAACTTTTTTAGGTCGGAGGGAGTATTAGTTATTATCCTCACCAAGAGCTTTTGCAAAGTTCATCGTCTATTTATACTTTTTTGTCATTTCACTGTAGTTAGGTAGACTTTTTCTGTTCATTTATAAAAAAAATCATGTTGTAATAACACTAAGAATGACACTAAAGATGACACTACTTGATGAGCCAATATCCAGAGGACGGTCCAAATGAACCATTTAAACAGCTTCGGGTCAAGCACCTGTGAAATACTCAAGCTGGGCCGGTCCAAGGAGCTGGGCCTAGTTAACCTCAGGCCAAGCGCAGCTGGCAGAGTCAATCCGGAGAAGGAGACGGAGCAGATTGGCTGTTACGGAGCCGGGAAAAGGGGATCGCGCCCTTGGTGGGATAGACTCTGTCGGTTATGCATTACCTTAATTGTTTAGAGCTCATGTATAAATAGAGGGGACCCGAAAGGGGAGAACTCAAGCTAAATCAAGCTAGTAATACACACCCAATTCTCGAATTCTCGTTCTTAATTTTGTTCTTACGATCCGCTCTGTAGACCGGATCATTTGGTGGATTTATTGTCCATCAAATTGGTGCTTTCATTGAGAGCTCGAGAATCATACTCAGAAGAAATCCTCCACAACGACGATGGTGCAAACACGTAGCAACGCCAACGTAGGTACCGGAGTTCCCCAACAGAGGGAGAACAGCGCCACCGGAGGCCGGCACCCCCCCATCACCATCGGGGAGGCTGAGGCCCTCATTCAGAGGGTTGGGATCACGGCCGAACAATTCAAGGAGGTGCTGGCCGCACTTGCGCCCAACCGCGAGGTTGTGGTAGGAGATGTGGCTGGGGGACCCACAGGCGGGAAGGCTGGACCTGCAGGCTCCCAAGGAAAAAAGAAAAAAGCGAGGCGGTCCCAGAAGAATAAGGCGACCAAGCCTAATGGGAAGGCTATGTTGGCAGATGCGCTTTCCAGGCTGGAAGAAGAGGACGAGTCGTCCTCCATCGAGCGGATGTCTGCTTTTGACCGTTTGGGAGACCCCAAGTCAAAGAAACCTCGGACCTCTGCGTTCGAACGGTTGCAGGACACTCGGTCGGCCCGAAAAGGCGACTTGAGAGACACGCTCAAGGAGAAGAGAGGGGAGTCCACAGCGACCTCCAAGGTCGGTTCTGAGGAGCGACGGACGACAGTCGGGGATAAGGGCGCAACCGAGCTGTGGAAAATGTACGAACAATTGGAGAAACGGCTGGATGCCAGAACCCCTATCGCCAGGCGGTCTTCAGTGAGGTAACGCCCTTCTCCAGAAGGATAATGTCCTGCCCTCTCCCAGATAATTTCAAGACTCCCCAGATCAAGGCGTACAACGGGACGACCGATCCCCAAGACCACCTCGCTCGCTTCGGGGCCAACGTGGTCATGTATGCATATCCAGAAGAAATCAAGTGTCGGTGCTTCCTGGCGACAATGGAAGGGCATGCTTGTGAGTGGTTTCACAAGTTACCCAAGGGGTCGATAGATAAGTAGAGCGACCTGGCCCACAAGTTCTTGGAGCACTTCGCATCCAGCCGGAGACAAAAGCTCCCCTTCTCGCATTTGCTCAATGTGAAGATCTGGAAGGGGGAACAGCTCCGGGAGTTCATTAATAGGTGGGAGAAGGAGGCTAGGGATGTCCAAGGGGCGGACGACCAAGCCCTGATCGCCATGCTCCAAGCTGCACTCCCCCAAGGGGATGTGCGGAAGGAGCTGCGACGGAATCCTCTCTCGACCTATCAAGAGATGTTGGCCAAGGCGAAGTACCTGGTGCTGGAAGAGGAAGATGATGAGCCACCAGTCCGGAAGGAGAAGAAAAGCGGGCCACCGGTGGCAGAAGGAAAGAAAAGGAAGGATTATGGTAAGGGGCCGAACCCCACCGGGTATCATGCGAACAGGCATCCTGTTCACGCGGTACAGTCGTTGCCGGCCCCTCCTCATGGTCGGGAAAGCTATGGTGTGCAAGATGCACCCAAATACAACGAGTACCACCGTAACAGCACCCATAACACGTCGGAGTGCGTTACGTTGAAGAAGGAGATGGATCAGCTGATCGCTAGAGGGCCACCTCCTCGGTCGGAGCGACCGTCCTCAAGTAACCGGACCTGGAGGAGGCCGCCAGCCCCCACAGCAGCGATCACAGCAGGAGAGGGGCAAGAAGATGGACGGCGGCACCTAGGGCGAGATTTGATGACCTAGATGAGGAGGAGAGGCAAGGTCGCCGACACCTGGGGTGTCGGTTCATCATGGGAGGAAACACTGGAGGAGATTCGGTATCCTCCCGGAAGAAGTGGAAGAACATGGTGTACCTGGCCGAGGTACAAAGGCTGCCGCTGCATAAGAGAAAGAAGAAGGAACCTCTGATCTTTACAGACGAGGATTATCCCCTAGTCCTCAGCCCTCACAGGGACGCTCTGGTGATAAGAGTGGAGATCAATAATGTGGTTGTTCACCGAACCTTGGTCGATACGGGCAGCTCGGTCAACGTAATGTACAGCAACACCTTTAAGGAGTTGGGGTTGTCCCGAAGCGACCTGAAACCAATCCATACGCCGCTATCAGGGTTTACAGGGGATACTATTGAAGCAGAAGGAACTATCACGGTAAAGGCCGGGGTAGGAGATGGCACCCACCGACTCTAGGTCGACATGGAATTTATGGTAGTACAGCTCGACTGTGCACACCATCTGATTCTGGGACGACCAGGGTTGGAGGACCTGGAGTGCGTAATCTCCCCCGTCCACTTATGCTTAAAGTTCAACACTCCCACAGGGGTGGGAGTAGCAAAGGGGAACCAGAGCCTGTCACGGTCGTGCTACGTCAGGGCGACCAAAAGCCAAGCCTGAGTCGACGAGAATGTGAGCACGATCTGTGCGGCGATCCAGAAGGAGGAGGGGCGACCCTGAGCTGAGCCGGCGGAAGAGGTCGAGGAAGTTTCTTTGGACCCGGTTGAGCCAGAGCGGAAGGTGAAGGTAGGTAAAACCTTACCGCTTGAATTAAAGGAGCAGTTATTGGAGGTCCTCCGAGCATTCAAGGTGCTATTCGCTTGGGGACCAGAGGATATGCCAGGGGTCGACCCAAAAATCATCTGCCATAGATTGGCAGTGGATCTGACCCACAAGCCGGTCAAACAGAAGAAGCGTTTCCTTTCCTCAGAACGGAGAGAGTTTGTCACCAAGCAGGTGACCACCCTGCAATCCATTGGGCACATCCGGGAAGTCCACTACCCGGAATGGTTGGCAAATGTAGTCCTCGCACCCAAAGGGAATACCTGGCGGATGTGCGTCGATTACATTGATCTAAATAAAGCTTGCCCGGCAGGATGTGAGCTGATGAGTTTTATGGACGCATTCAGTGGGTACCATCAGATCAAGATGGCAGTGGCGGATGAAGAAAAGACCGCTTTCATCACCCCCAATGGGGTATACTGTTACAAAGTGATGCCTTTTGGTTTGAAGAATGCTGGGGCGACCTATGTACGGATGGTGAACAAGCTGTTCGCGCCGGTACTAGGGGGTGCATGGAAGCGTATGTGGACGACATGATTGTCAAGTCCAAACGGACGGAGTCTCATGCTGGCGACCTGGAGAGAGTATTCAAGATCATGAAGAAGTTCCAGCTTCGCCTTAACCCCAAGAAATGCACATTTGGGGTGCAGGGGGGTAAATTCCTAGGACATATGGTCAGCCGGAGAGGGATCGAGCCTAACCCGGAAAAGGTAAAGGCGATTTTGGAGATGGAGCCTCCGCGAAATGTAAAGGAGGTCCAGCAGCTCACCGGCAGGATTGCTGCTCTCAGTC